CACTGCGAGGAAATGTATCATGAGGTTTTAATGTGGATTCAATTTAGTTTTAAAGTGTAAACCGCTGGCCCGCCCATTTCATACTGCTAACTCGCTACACTGTTATCCCGCCTACTTCACACTGCTAGAAAATGTTCATAACGTTATCATGTTGATTCAATTAAGTAATAAACTTTAATCCGCTCGCCTGCCAGTCCGCTCAGTTCACACTGCTAGCTCGCTACACTGTTAGCCCGGCCACTTCATACTGCTAGAAAATGTTTCATAACGTTTTCATGTTGATTTAATTAAGTATTACAGTGTAACCCGCTGGCCCGACAACCCGTTTAGTTCACCCTGCCATCCCGCTTCACTGATAGCTCGCCCATTACACTGCTATGAAATGTATCATGAGGTTTTAATGTTGATTCAATTTAGTATTAAAGTTTAGCCCGCTGGCCCACCAGTTTCGCCCAGTTGACACTGCTTACCCCTACACTGTCAGCCCGACCACTTCACACTGCTCGGAAAAGTGTCATTTGGTTTAATGTGGATTCAATTAAGTATAAAAGTTTATTCCGCTGGCCAGCCAGCCCGCCCATTTTACACTGCTATCCCGCTACACTGATAGCCCGCCCCCTTCACACTGCTAGGAAATGTTTCATAACGTTTTGATGTTAATTCAATTTATTATTAAAGTTAAGCCCGCTGGCCCGGCAGCTCGCTCAGTTCACACTGCTAGACCGCTACACTGTTTGCCAGCCCACTTCACGCTGCTAGAAAATGTTTCATAACGTTTTCATGTTGATTCAATTAAGTATTAAAGTTTAGCCCGCTAGACCGCCAGCCCCGCTCAGTTCGCATTGCCATCCCGCTACACTGCCAGCCCGCCCACTTCACCCTGCTAGGAAATGTGTCATGAGGTTTTAATGTGGATTCAATTAAGTATTAAAGTTTAGCACGCTAGCCCGCCAGCCCGCCCAGATCACACAGCTATCCCGCTACACTGTTAGCCCGCCCATTTCACACTGCTAGGAAATGTTCATATCCTTTTCATGTTAATTCAAATAAGTAATAAAGTTAAGCGCGCTGGCCCGCCAGCCGCTCAGTTCGCACTGCTAGCCCGCTACACTGTTAGCCCGCCCACTTCACACCGCTAGAAAATGTATCATAACGTTTTCATGTTGATTCAATTAAGTATTAAAGTTATGCCCGCTGACCCGCCGGCCCTCCCAGTTCACACTGCTAATCCGCTATACTGTTAGCCCGCCGACTTCATACTGCTAGGATCCAGCTAGCTTACGGAACGTCGGTGGATCTACTCAGGTGCCCGTTCGCGCCTGAAATAATGCACGGAAGGGCACCTGAGGTCTTCCTCCACCAGTAAAGCTGGAACGTCGCGATATGACCTATACTGTGTCGATGTGACGTAAAACCCAAAACAAACAAACAAAATCATACTGCTAGGAAATGTTTCATAACGTTTTCATGTTGATTCAATAACGTTTTAATGTTTAATCAGTTAACCCATTACTTCATATACACGCCTTTTAACGCCTTTTTTACCCCCCCCCTTTTTGTTGTCTAAAATGATGAAAAAATGCCTTATTTAGGCAGCAAACACTTGTTTTTGTTTGAGAAATGTTCTGTTTGGGGGGTTTGAAGGGGGGCGGAGTCCCCCTCATCGCCAAAAATTTTTTGGACTTGTGAGAGGCTGTAAATGACCCCAGATTGATCATAAGGTAACATGTAACCAACGCTGAAAAGCATTTGACTCTATCTCAATCCATTGAGAAGTTGCAGCACTTTGAAATCAATTTTGATGGAAAAAATCAACGCAAAATAGTGATTTTTGGCAATTTTGAGATGACCCCTCATTGCCATGGTAACAGAAAATTTAAGCCTGAGCATGTTGTTGCAAGGGCAATGGTCCAGTCAACATTTGTGCCAAGTTTGATTAGTGTTGAAGCAGTTTTTATAGTATTATAGCAATTTGAACTTGTAACGGGAGACTTTCAATGAAAACAGCCATTTTTCACAAAATGCTCATGAAGTAATGGGTTAATGAAAAAAATAAAAAAGGCTACAAAACAACAATTTTTTCTTCAAATTTATATGACAGGCCATGTTTAAACATGAAAAAACGCGATTTAGGGTAATTTCAAGTATTTTCATCATTTTCTGTTAACCCATTACTTCATATACACGCATTTTAACGCCTTTTTCACCCCCCTCTTTTTTGTTGTCTAAAATGATGAGAAAATGCCTAATTTACGCAGCAAACACTTGTTTTTGTTTGAGAAATGTTGTTAAAAAATGACCTCTTTTTCGGCGTGGCCCCCAACCAAAATATACATCAGGGAGTTGCCAGAAGGGGGATGTGCCCCCTTCTGTTTTGGGGGTTTGAAGGGGGGTGGAGTCCCCCTCATTGCCAAAACAATTTTGGACTTGTGAGAGGCTGTAAATGACCCCAGATTGATCATAAGGTAACATGTAACCAACGCTGAAAAGCATTTGACTCTATCTCAATTCATTGTTGCAAGGGCAATGGTCCAGTCAACATTTGTGCCAAGTTTGATTAGTGTTGAAGCAGTTTTTATAGTATTATAGCAATTTGAACTTGTAACGGGAGACTTTTCAATGAAAACAGCCACTTTTCACAAAATGCTCATGAAGTAATGGGTTAAGTTAGAGTTAATCCCGCTATCCCGCTACACTGTCAGCCCGCCCACCTTACACTGCAAGGAAGGATATTATGAGGTTTTAATGTTGATTCAATTAAGTATTAAATTTTAGTCCGCTGGTCCGCCAGCCCGCTCAGTTTACATTGCTATGCCGCTACACTGTTAGGCCGCCCACTTTACACTGCTAGGAAATGTATCATGATGTTTTTTATTGTTGATTTAATTAAGTATTAAAGTTTAGTACGCTGGTCCGCCAGCCCGCCCAGTTAACACTGCTAGCCCGCTACACTGTTAGCCCGCCCACTTCACACTGCCAGGTAATGTATCATAACGTTTTCATGTTCAATTAGTTAAGTTTAGAGTATATCCCCACCAGCCCGCCCAGTTGACACTGCTAGACCGCTACACTGTCAGCCTGCCCACTTCACACTGCTAGGAAATGTGTCATAACATTTTCATGCTGATTCAATTTAGAATTGAAATTTAATCCGCTGGCTCGCCATCCCGCTCAGTTCACACTGGTAGCCCGTTACACTGTTAGCCCGCCCACTTCACACCGCTAGGAAATGTATCATAACGTTTTCATGTTGATTCAATTAAGTACATGTATAAAAGTTTAGCAGCTGGCCCGCCAGCCCGCTCAGTTCACACTGCTAGCCTGCTACACTGTTAGCCCGCCCACTTCACACTGCTAGGATATGTATCATAACGTTTTTATGTTAAATCAGTTAAATTTTAGAGTTTATCCCGCTTGATCGCCAGCCTGCCAGTTCACACTACTAGACTGCTTTTCCGCTCAGTTCACACTGTTAGCCCGCTAGACTGCCATCTCGCTCAGTTCATACTGCTAGACTGCTAGCTCGTTACACCGCGTACTTCATGGCCTTCAACAAATCAAGGCAGAATTGTATATTAATGTTGTTTGTTAGTGTAGGAAATATAATCCGATAAGACAGCATTATAGCGACCTCCCATGTAACGGACCGAAGCCGAAGGCTGACTGATCAGTCACTATAATGCTCGGGCCCTAAGTGCTACGTACAAGTTTTAACTGGGACGAAATATTGTTATCTATGATATAATTGTTTTAATGTTTAATACAGAATCACTTAAAACATTCGTTTTCGAGTGATATTTTATACGATTTTTAAGTTTTACATTTCTATTGTTATTATAAATATTTGAAATACTTTTGAAATATGTGCAGATGGAAACCCAATCCCATTCAAAGCCTCGCCAACGCGTCATTACTGCAATTTACTGGATACCAGTAAACACGCGGCACGACAGGGAAATAGTTCATTGTCGCATTTTTGTTTTTAAAGTAGTTTAAGATACATTAGCATTTATTCGTATGGTTTAGTAAAAGTCATGCATTTTTTAAAAACAATATTACATTTCTAACTAACCCCTGCAAGTACATTGTAAAAATATTAATTTAATGAACGGATTACAAAATGCTTATGCGACTTAACGTATTATTTAAAAGATATCTTAAGTTTTGCTTGTTTGTTTTGATTGGGTTTTACGTCACACCGACACAGTATAGGTCATATCGCGACGTTCCAGCTTTACTGGTGGAGTAAGACCTCAGGTGCCCCTCTGTTATTTCAGGCACGAACGGGCACCTGAGTAGAACCAGCGACGTTCTGTAAGCTAGCTGGATAGTTTCCTCACATGAAAGAATCCAAGTCCCTGTCGGGATTCGAGCCCACAGCGGTGAGGGGCATCCTAAGTGGCAAACGGTCTTTACACTAAGTTCGAAAAGCTCAGATACATGCAAAGGTTAATAAAATTCTAAACTAGTTTACCTTCTTTGTATTTATAAAAAAATGAACCCCGAAACGTTTTTAAAAGTGAAAACAAGTATGAAGTTACATGGTTTTATTACATGCTTTTCGGTGGTTTATAGAAATATATCAGTGATATAAAACTGGTAATTTCACTGTTTGAAACAGTGAAATTACCACTTTGATAATTTCACTGTTTTGAATTTAAGCCCCTTACGTTGTTTCAGTAAAATACAAGCGTGCACAGTACTGGGTACCAACTTAATGACGTGACGTCGTAAATGACGTCATGTTGTATTATTATTTGGCGCGCTTTTCATTCAGTATTAGGTTTAATGTCTTTTTAAAACGTTTCTTTGCATATAATAAAAAGAAAATTTGTTTAGTTTAGTGTAAGATCGAAATATATTTCACCTTGTGAACACCAAAAGTTTATATTTCACTCGTGGCTGCGCCACTCGTGAAATATACCTTTTGGTGCTCACTCGGTGAAATATATTCCGATCTTACACTGAACTAAACAAAAATCCTCAAAATGTTTATTTAGAGAGGAGCTTTACCAGATGATTGTGAGAGAGCGGAATATAGCCCGATCATCAAAGAATAATGATTCTCAAGTAAAAGGTAAACCGGGTGAACGTGTACGTGTATGTGAACGTGTACGACGTCCAACGGAAGAAAGAGATGAAAATGAAGACAGAAACAAACCGGCAGAGAAGACAGTTTTTCAACAACCACAGCAACAAGAAGTTTTTACCACAGCATTTCAGTAAGTAACTATTTATTTTGCTTTTGTTGATATTTGATTAAGGTATATTTTAACAGTTATTACCTCCGCTTTGTTTAGATTTTCTAGTAGGAAGAAAATACAGTGTTGTGCTAATCTGATGGCTTATGTCACTTTGATTAATTACATAAACTTTTATTTACACTGGCTAAAGGGAAAACAACTTGACACAATCTGAATAGTTGCTTTGAATACATCTGTCCACATCTAATATGTACGTGCGACTACAGCTGTACAAAATCTTATGTGTTTGTGTGTTTGTATGAATTTTACTACATATGTTATGCACTATTGGGGGTTAAACATGACAGAATCAAGGGGACATGTGGGAACACAACTTTACACAAGTAGGTGTGTTCGTGAGAATACAACTTTGCGCAATCAAACGGACATGCGGGAACTCAATTTGACACAATTGAGTGAGCTAGTGGAAATAAAACTTCCAACAAGCAAGCAGCCTTTTGGGGGCACATTTGACACAATCAAGTGAGCTTCTGCGTACACACTCTAGCGGACATTGCGAACCACAACTTACACACTCCCACAAGTGGGAGTTGCTGAAGACAACAATCAAGCAGACTTGTCGGAACACAACTTTAAACAATCATTCGGGATTCGTGGAACACAACTTAAAACAATCAAGCAGACTTATGGGAAAAAAATTACATAATCAAGCAGGCTCTGTGGAACAGAAAGTTACATCCTCGAACGTTTTATTTCGATTACTGAAGATCGTTCAGCACGATATTATTGTTGTGTGTGCATGTTTATGGTGTATTCCCTTCCTTCTATTTGATCTTTTTCAAGATGGGTGTTTCCAATATTTATAACTGAATATTGTTGAATCACCTTGAGGATATGTTGCCTGCTTTTTATATGCCCCCTTCGAAGACGGGGGAGTATATTTTTTTGCTAATGTCGGTCGGTCTGTCTGCCTGTCTGTTTTTCTGTCTGTCTGTCGGTGGTCTGTCTGCCGGTCTGTCTGCATATCGGTCTGTCTGTTGGAAGACTACATGGTTTCCGCTGATTAGCTTGAAACGTATTCATCACACAGTCTACATGTTTAAGATATTGATTAGTATTAACTAGTAGAAGACAACTATCGATTTTGGGGTCATTTGGTCAAAGGTGAAGGTCACAAGGGCTTTAAATGTCAGAATGGTGTTACGTACATTATTCTGCCAATATTAGCGTCACGTTTAGCGTGACGCGCCTTTTTATATGTTTTTGTATTGACGTCATTATATGAGTTGTCTTCCGGTAATCAGAAATAAATCAACGTTATTGAATATCCAGTGCAATCTTTTGATTATTTAGTGCTTACACAACATTTTGGTTTCGCGAACCGGATGACACTATGGCAACAAAGTCGCGATCTATACAGAAGGGTCACAAGGGCGCAGTTACACGACTCCTGAACGAATTCGAGGCAATTAAGCGTGAAGCAGCCGATCACGTGGAACTTGTGACGATCATTGATTCCCGCAATTAGATACAGCAGACGATCACTGAGATTCACGAAAAGATCCTTGATTCTTTTCAAGACGAAGAGGAAGAACAAATAGAAACAGAAATTCTTGAGCATGATGAGTATATAAACATGTTAAAGATCAAGATACAGAAGAAACATGATCTTAGGAAGGTATCAATTTCAAATTTGAACTACAATTCCCCAGCTCTAAACCCTAACGCTCAGTCATTTCAAGTGTCCGTATCCAGCGAAACATCCGAGATTTGTGTGCCAGGTATCAGAATACTTCCCAGATGCATTTCCTACCTTCCTTATCTCAAAGCTCAGTATATCATAAATTACTAAAGTTAGATTTGCCGAAGTTCGACGGAATTGTCCTTGACTGGTGTTTATTCTTGGGTTCTTACGGGTCTGCTATACACACGAATCTTTCACTTACCGGAGTACAGAAATTCAATTACTTGAAGTCGTGTCTTAAAAATGAGGCTTTGCAAACAATAGCTGGATTTGCCTATACGAATTTTAATTATGAACAGGCTATTTAATTATTACATGAGAGATATGGTCAATAAGACAGAATTAAACAAACTTAAATGAAAGCATTACTTGAAGTTCCAGCACCCATGTACACTGTACAAAGTGTTAAAAAATTCTATGATACAACAGAGACATATATCAGGGCATTAGCTTCAATTTATCAGAATGAGACTACCTATGGTTCACTTCTTACCCCAGTTATTCTTCAAAAGTTACCGCCAGAGGTCAGAACAAACATTGCACTTGCGCACGGGATAAAGTCGTGGTCTTTGCATGAATTGATGCAATGTACACTGAATGAAATCAATATTTTAGACGCTGGAAATTTGCTGATTACCCCTCAAGACTTCATTCCGAAGCATCTGTTCTAACAAAATCTGATCTAGTAGACCAGAAAGCGATCTATTTCATGGTAACCTCAAAACGTACCTCCATTTCTGCCAACATCCTATTTGATGAAGGTTCCCAGAGTTAATTTATAAGTGAACATCTAGCCCAAAAAGTACAATTGGAGCCCATCGGAAGTGAAACTTTATACATGTCGGGTTTCGCAGACACAGGGCGTCGCGTGCGACTTTTAAGCATAGCTTACGCGTATTTAGAAACACCAGAAGAAAATATTCCCATAAAGCTTTTAATTATTCCTGAAATTTCCACGCCACTGAAATCTCATCACAAACATGCTTGTCACGTTACTTATCTGAAAGGGCTCAAACTCGCACACACAGTGTCAGGAGATGAAGATTGTGATATCGAGATTCTTATTGGTGCTGATCATTACTGAGACGTAGTACAAGATAAAGTTATCAGAGGAGACGGACCTACAGCTATACAGTCTAAAATCGGATACATCCTATCAGGACCATTGACAACTGATACTGAAATACATTATCCATCGATTCCCATCTCTATAATTAACCTTAAGTAGAGCATCTCAAGATAAAAGAGTCGGTCGGAGAAGGATACAAGCCAAACAAACAATTATGCTACGAGAAAACACGTGAATTTCCAGAAAAAAGCATTACGTACAGTAAATTGTGTTGACAATTTACCACGAAAAGATGACCATTACATTTTATCACGAAACGAACATATAAGTAGACCCAGAACTATGCCCCACCATCCTGTGAGAAAAGCTTCGGAAAAAATGTGTTAAAAATTACCGCACACTTATCTTTACATTCATGTACACAGATCTCATAGACCCATCTCATCTATTATACAGATGCAGGATTACCTCCCCTATTTACCCAGACGACAGAGAACTCACAACAAGGGGATTAAATGAGCCTGTCGAGGAACTGTGCAGACTCATAGATGCAACGCTTAAACATTTCTTTTTAAGATGGAAACACAAATACCTAACCTTGTTACGAGAGTCTCACTAGAATTGAAGTAACATTGTACACGTGATTCACGTGTATTTGCTGAATGTCTAAAGCAATTGTTCGCGCATACATTTTAATCATTTAGTGATATTTGCAATGCGTTATAAATTCAGTGAAACTTTACCGATTTATTACAGGTAGAGAATAATAATAGTGATTTTAAACTTATTGCAATAGTGATTGATTTGAGAGACCGTTTCATAATGAATACTGTAAATGTCATTTACTATCAGAGACAGTTTATGAATTTAAGTGATTGATCAAACTTTCAACTTAATTATTTTCACTAGATATATCTGATTTCACGGTTTTTAAGTTACAATATTTCATTTCATTGAATTTCAGTTTGTACAATTATTATTTTATTTACATTTGTAATATTATCTTGAACAAGCATTGTGGCCCCGGAGTGTTACGTATTTATATATGTACTGAGTTACTGCGCCAATATTAGCGTCACATTTAGCGTGACGCACCTTTTTAAATGTTATTTTATATTAACGTCATTTTATGAGTTGACTTCCGGTAATCAGAAATAAAACAACGTTATTGCAGAACAAGTGCGATCTTTTGATTATTTAGTGTTTACACAACAAATGGTTTCCACTTACTATCTTGGTTACAATTTATCACAAAGTCTTCGTTTTTCACATTTTGATTGGTCGTAACTAGTAGGTGACCCCTATTGTTTTTGGGGTCAACACGTCAAAGGTCAAGGTCACAGGGTCTTTGAATGGTAGTACGATTTCAGCTTATTATCTTGAAAGAAAATCATCACAAAGTCTTCATATTTCACATTGTGATTTGTCATAAGGAACAGATGACCCGTATTGCCTTTAGGGTCACTAGATAAAAGGGCAAGGTCACAGGGGGCTTAAATGTCAGACTGGTTTCGGCTTATTACTTTGCCAACTATTTATCACAAAGTCTTCATATTTCATATACTGATTGGTCATAACTAGTAAGTGACCTCTATTGATTTTGGGGTCACTAGGTCAAAGGTAAAGGTCACAGTGTTCGTGAATGTTTGTATGGTTTCCGCTCATTATATCAAAAGCTTTTCATCACAAAGTCTTCACATATTTCTAGTATTGATTGGTCATATTTATAAGATGACCTCTATTGTTTTCGGGTCACTAGTTCAAATGTCTAGGTCACAGGGGCCTTAAATGTCTCATTATCTTGATACTTATTATCACAAAGTCTTCATTATTATTCTTTTTTTTCCATAATTGAACACTTCCATGTACCCATTTATGGCAAGTTTCGATAACAAAATTACCAATAATGTGAGTCAAGGGCTAGAAAGGGGGGGGGGCATATGTGTCGTTCGACATTTCTTGCTTATCTGTGATATCCATGATTCATAACCTCTGATCCCTTTTCAGAATTCCATTTTGTTTACTTTCGCTCCTTGTGTTCTAGGTTAGGGCACACGCATTCTTTTACTTTGGGACAATACACTGCTTTTCATGAAATGGCTCGAAAGTATATAATTGTAGGTTCCATGATAATCGTCGTATGAAAGCATCTTCGTATGCTTCTAAATTAAAAATTTAATCATTTTTGCTTAAACCGGTGCTAGGGGGGCATGGCGGTAAAGGTGTGAATAGCACACTTTTAAAATTACTCCACCAAAACGTTTCGATATTGCTTAATTGATCATTTATAGCAGAATATTTGTAACCAATTACACATTAATTGATTTCCTTCTTATAGCTTTAGTATATTCTTGAGCCATGCATTTATATGCAAGTCATGTAATTGTTATAGAAACGAACCATTGGTATATAAGTTAACTTAAGTTTAACTGTTCTTCTTTTTCAGGTTGCAACTCGGGATACTTATTGTGGTTGTAGTTTTGTCAATCTTGTTGTCAATCTTGGCGCATTATTGTTTATTTACACATCTGTATCATATTGACAGTAAAAGCGAATTGTCTGATGTTGATATTGACAAGAAAGTGAAAGATTCACTTGAACCTGAAGTTTTAAAGAGAGTTGCAGAAACTAAATCAACCAAAGTTGAAATTGAAGAGTTGTTACAATCAACTCATAAACTAGATCAGGAACGTAAGGTCATTTATGAACAATTAAAGAACTATCTGGATAGAATAGACAATGCTGTAAAAGACGCTTCAAATATTAAGACATTAATTCCTAACGCGGAGGAAATGAATCGACTTCAGGTAAAAATTAATGAAATGTCTATTAAATATTCTGAAATAATGGCTACAGAAACAGATGATTTTAAGATTGTGAGATTACAGGAGTCTGTAGAAGAGGGAGAAAGAAAGCTAGCAGTTATAAGAAAAAAGTTCGGGGAACTTCAGAAAAATATAGCAAAGGCTCTGGATGAATATGAGAAACATAAAGACAGAATTAAGAAAATTAAAGAAGATCTTGATGTCATACAACCGAATACGTTTAATAAAGGTACGTGTTTTATTAATGATACCTCTGATTTGCTGAATAATTTCCCTTATTATGAGTGAAACTTAAACACAAGTGTTTCAATTGTAAAATGTTATTACCATAGTTATATAAGACAGTTTCTTTCCCTTTATTTCTGCCTTACAGATTTATGTTTCTGACTTGAAAAGTGTGTTTTCATTAAAGTTTCCTATGTAAGAAGATGTGAATTTGCATTAATTAAATAATTTATAGAAACATAAATGTTACATTTCGTTATTTTGCATCTAAATAAAAGATTACAAATCCAAATAGGCTTACATATAAATTTATTTTATTAATAGTTAACAAGTCCAGCACACTGAAAACGTCATTAAATACCTATTCACTTAATGTTTCATCTTTGCAGTGATTTCTTCCTCTAATTCTCAAAATATAATGTTAAAGGCACATTCAATCATAATGATCAATAGTTCACATTTGATACTTATTATTAAGTGGTTCTATTGGCTTCATCGTTACCCATAAACAATAATATCAATTTACATTAAATATATTATAGTTACATTACAGAGATACAATAAATGGTCAGTTAAAAGTTACAGCAATGACTATACATATAACACACAATTATAATATTTTATGATGACATACCAATTTGTGGAATTGTATGCTCTAAACAATATCAAATCACATGAATCACACCATATTATTACTTTACTCCTGTCAACACTTCATTCGTACAATGGCTGGGTGCTGCAATATATCAAATAAAAAATGCATATTATTAAGAACAATGTGCATGACAGAAAGAGTTATTATAATAAGTGAAGTTAAAAAAGAATGCTATTTCTAAACCATCTCAATTCTTCTTTACTCAATTCTAAATACATGGAAATCTTGAATTTACTTCTCAAATAAATGTACACTGTTTACATGAAATATAGATGTATATAAAGAATGTTCTTTTCTTTTTTTTAACTAAGTGTCGATCGTTTCAAAAGCAGCAGATAAGTCCAACATTACTAGAACATAAGCTTCATTCTGATCAAGAGAACGGAGAATGTTATTTTGTACACATAATAGCAGATTCTGTTCAATGAAACTGCCTATAAGCAGACTGACGCTCTTTCTGAAGTTTATGTGCAGATAGGTGTCTTTCATGTTTGGATTCGACAACTTTTCGAGAATTTTGGAAACAAACGGTAAATTAGATACAGGCCAGTAGGTTTTCATAACCTCTTGATCTAGACCTGATTTTTTTGTTAAAGGTCTGACTCGTGAACTTTTAAAAGCGGGTGGTACATAGACCCTCTAAAGTGAAGTGTTTATGATTTTTGTGATCATGTAGTAATAGTACATTTAACAATCAATCAGCCATGTTGGAGAATGGGATCAAATTCAAGAGATTTGTTTGGAGAATTGCGAATAATTTTTGAAATAATAACAGTCAATTTCAACATAGAATATTCAGAACTACCATGTAAACCATGCGTGCAATATATATGTGTTATTATATGTACAAATGTATACTAGAATGCAAGGAAAGTTGATATCTATTTCCATTCTAACCTGATAATGAAAGTGAGAATTTCTAAAAGAAAATGTTGACCAGCATTGAGCGTAGAAGTAATTTTCCTGACGTACTTAATATCTTCAGACGCCTGTAGAGAAAGAAGTCTTTATTTACTTCGTGAATAGTTTTATTGGTTTCAAAGTGTAACAGATGTTTTTGAAGGAAAACAAACACCAACACGCGTGCACCATAGATCAATATTGAACCGACACACCCACTTGAGATGGTCTACACGAACTACTTAACTTTTGAGCCTGCTTAGGGAGGAATAGAAACATTCTTGTTATTACAGACCATTTCACGAAATTTGCCATGGCGATACCTACCAAAGATCAAACTGCAAAAACAACTGCAGAAGCATTTTACAACAATTCTATAGTACATTATGGATTCCCGACATCTATTCATTCTGATCAAGGAGCAAATTTCCAGTCTGAAACCATGTATAAACTTTGCAACATCACCAATATGAAAAAGTCAAGAATTTCAGTCTATCACCCGATGGGAAATGGAGTCTGTGAGCGATTTAACCGGACGTGTTAGACATGTTAGGCTACTTAGAAACATCTCAACTAATTGTAAGAAATATATACCATCTTTAGTCTATGCCTATAACAGCACGCCACATGAAACCTACTAAGATCTTACCACATGAACTCATATTTGGCAGAAAAGCAAAATTACCAATTGATTAATTGTTTGCTCAAGCTACAAAAGAAACAACATTAAAAACACCAACATAATATATGGATGAATTGTACCACAAGACAGATCGTAGAAGAACAAACAAAAAGAGCAATGGAGAAACAAAAAGAAATACCTTGATAGAAAAGCCAAAGCAGGAACAATTTCAATGGACGACAAGGTGTAAGTGAAAACATTGAAGCATGATGGTAAACATAAGATTGCCGATCAATTTGAAGAAGAGCTTTTTGATGTTATACACCTGTAAAGCCTGGATATACCAGTGTCCAAGGTCAAGTCAGAACATACTGGTATTATAAAGACGTTACACAGAAACCATTTGTATCCAGTACAAAAACAAAACATTATCAGTGGTTCAGAATAGTTGAAAAAGGGAATTGAAAATGTAGAGAGTGTGAGCAAAAAGGAAAACAAACCGGTACCGAAAAGAGAATGTCTTCCAACAAAGACACGAAGTTAGGAAATAAATGAAGGATTAAATAAAGGGGTGAGCAAAATAAAAGATAAAAGTAAAGGTGACGCCACAAGAGATGAATCGGAGGATACAGAAGATACAGATTCAGAGGTCGGGAGCAGTTATGTATTTTATACATGCGGCAGTGGACACGCTCTAGTCCCAAGAAGAACAGTGATGATAATAGTTCCTTAGAATTAGAACAAAGGAACACAAATGATGTTAATATAGAGACTGACAAAGACTACAAATCTAAAGCAGAAGACCATAGTGATAAAGAGAAAGAAGTAGTTATTGAGAAAGGTGATGAGAGTATTGAAGCAGACACTTTACCAGATGAGGAACCACAAGGAACATTACATCATAAAATTCATGAAACAACAGAGGAATTAGAGGATACAAATGAAAAGCATATTGAATATGCAGATATAGACATTACTGAACCAAGTCTTATGGTGGATTCTTATAACAGTGATATAAAAAATACTGAAATAAAGGAGATAGAGGAGGAACAAAGTACACAACATGATGAACAAAGTACACAAAAAGATGAACATAGTACACAGAATGATAAACAGAATATACGAATTGAAACTGCAAAAATACCAAGAACTATAACCTTTCTACCAAAACCTACTATTAGAAAGTCTAAACGAGAGTGAAGGCAACCAAAATGATTTATGAAATGAACCGGATGGTGGCATTGAGACCATATGACTCTTCATGCTTTAAATGTACTGGTGACACCAGGAGTACTTAATGACGTGGATTCTGAAGTAACACATAAAGTTGTGGACGCGATCATGAAATGATTTTGAAATGTGTTATCGAAATCTCAATTTTATATTGAAATGAAATGTATCAGTAAAATTAAAATGTCCTTGGTTAAGGTATACATGTGTCTCTGTTTCATGCTTGTTAGAATACGTAGAATTGCATGGTTGCAATTCAGAGAGAGCGGAGAAAACAATGTATTCTTAACAAGTTTTAAATTAAATAAAAACAATTAATTGTTAAATAAGTAAAAATTTGATGATTAATCTAATAGTTTTTAATTTTAAGTAATTTAATATTGTATTAAATGATGTGTATAATTCAGGTCTAAAATCAAAACAATAGAATGATTTGATGTTATATGGAGTAAGCGATTACTCTGGATAAGAGCCACCAGTAAAAGTTGTGTGTCAGTTGTACGGTGCAACATAAAGCTTGAAATAGGGTAGAGATGAGTAGAGATATACTTTGTATGATATGAAGTTGATTTTTTTGTACGTGACGCAGTAATTAATATCTGGCTAAGACGGACCTGATTTAATGACGAAACGTCATTTTCCAAGGAAGGGAAGTGTGTAACAGGGTCATTGTCACAATAGGGACTACGATGGGATACCAGGCCGACCACAATTGCTATCTAAAACAACCAACAACTCAGAACAGAAAATATATACAAATTTATTTACAAGAAATGAATATTTATAAATGAAAAATGATTATATATGGTAAACTACTATGATAAGTCACTGCGCAAACAAACACTATCAACGTATCTCAGTCTATTTCTCCCGTAAAGTTTCTGTCATGATGTATCAATAAAGTGGTGGCGCTGTTGAACAAAATTCGTCACAATGGCGGGCGTCTTGTATAAAATCTTATCAAGCGTAACTGTACTTCCTACAGTGTTGGCACAGTTGATAGGATCCTGAACAAGGGCATGCGTCACCCTTTAGCCATGGACATACGTGTGGAGGGCCCGTGTCATCTTCGGGGTGTCCTCAAATAAGAAGCTACAAAGTATAAAACATGATAAGTTCCATGATAATCAAACATAAGGGTATAATAAAGTCCCTTGGAAAAGACTCGACCTTTGTCGGTTTCAAATAAAATAACGTGCTTCTTTGAATAAACAAAATGTCCACTATAGTACACCATACATTCCGTGGAACAAAAATTCAATCACATCCGCATAATACTGCGTTGCAAATATATTCAAATATACGCCACATAATAACCACCAATAAATAAACGTCTTCCAAAATCATGCC